ATGAGGCGGCGCAGCGGAGGAGGAGGAAGTGGTGGAGGAGGAGGAGGAGGCGCGGCGGGCATGCTCACCTCCGCCGCCCGCGCGCTGCTCTCCCCGCTGCGCGCAGCGGCCGCGTGGGCGAGCGGGGTCGTCGGGGGCGGCGCCGCCTCCTCCTCGCCCGCTGCTCGCTCGGCGATCAACCGGACCACGCTGCCGGACGGGCGGCGCGCGCTCTTCATGTCTTGCTGTCCGACATGTCCAAGGCCGTTCCTAGACCTTTCCTGGAACCTTCCTGCAGGCGCGCCCTCTTCATGTTCTGCTCGCCGACCGTCGCTCCTCTGGACTGCAACCCCGAGGCCAAGGCGCTCGTGGCGGCGGGGCTGCTGCCCGCCTCTCCGCCGCCCCTCGCCGGCGGCTAGCCCCTCCCGAGCTACTCCTCTCGCGGAGCCGTCTCGGAGCCGTCTCGGAGCCGTCTCCCCTGCAGGCGGCTCCTTCTCCGACTTGCGGCGCGCGCTCGAGGAGTGGCGGCCGCACTTGTTTTGGTTCGCAGGGCACGGCGACACGCGGCTTGTCGATGGCGACTCGACGATCGGCTTCTCGGCGCCCGACGGCGCGCTGCAGCTCGTCTCACCGGCGGTGATCGCCGCGGCGCTGCGGCAGCACCGCGCCGACGCACGGCGGGCGATCTCGGAGCCTTTTCTTGGAGCCTTCTCGGAACCTTCCCTGCAGGCAGCACGTGCCGCTGCACGGCGGCGACCTCGAGTGCGTCGTGCTCAACGCCTGCTCCTCCGGCTTCGGCGTCGGATCGCTCGGCGAGAGCAGCCGAGAGCAGCCGAGATTAGCAGCCGAGAGCAGCCGAGAATAGCCGATAGCAGCCGAGAGCAGCCGAGAGCAGCAGAGAGCAGCAGAGAGCAGCAGAGAGCAGCAGAGAGCAGAAGAGATTAGCAGCCGAGAGGAGCCGAGAGCAGCCGAGAGCAGCCGAGAGCAGCAGAGAGCAGCAGAGAGCAGCAGAGATTAGCAGCCGAGATTAGCAGCCGAGAGGAGCCGAGCGGAGCAGAGAGGAGCAGAGAGGAGCAGAGAGGAGCCGCGAGGAGCCGAGAGGAGCCGAGAGGAGAAGAGATGGCCCGAGATCGTTTCGGCGTCGGTTCGCTCGGCGAGCTTGCTGCGCCCGCACGCCGGTGACGAGATGTCCCGAGATGACCCGAGGTGGCCCGAGATGACCCGAGATTGCCCGAGATCAGGCGAGATGCTGCACCGCACGTCCGTTCCCTGCGTCGTCGGCTGGACCACGCGCGCGCACAACATCGCGTCGGCCGTCTTTGCACTCGGTTTCGGCGCGTGTGTGGCGAGCGGGCGCACCTACCCGGAGGCGTTCGAGGGGGGCGTGCTGGCGGTGCCACCCTCCCCTACCCCACGGCACCCGAACCCACCCTCCCCTACCCCCACGGTACCCGAACCCACCCTCCCCTACCCCACGGCACCCGAACCCACCCTCCCCTACCCCACGGTACCCGAACCCACCCTCCCCTCCCCCACGGCACCCGAACCCACCCTCCCCTACCCCGCGGTACCCGAACCCACGCGTCCGCCGGCGACGGGGCAGGGGTGCACGACGGGGTGGAGGAGGTATCGTGGGAGGAGGAGGCTGCGGGCGGGCTCGTCGAGCGGCTCCTCGCGCTGCCCGAGCAGCTGGCCGCCGGCCTCCCCTCCCCCGCCCTCCGGCTCGCCGCCTTCCGACCGCTCGTATTCGTGGCCGAGTCGAGGCGGGGCGGCACGCCGCGCCGCGCGCTCAGCCTCGGCGCGCTGCCGAGATCACCCGAGATTGCGCGAGATTGCGCGAGAGTGCGCGAGAGTGCGCGAGATTGCGCGAGATTACCCTCAGCCTCGGCGTTCCGCCGCGTGCCGCGTCTCGGGTTTATCTGGGGCGGTCTCGGCTCATCTCGGCTATCTGGGGCGGCTCATCTCGGCGGCGGGCGAGTCTAGACTGAGGGTAATCTCGGGCAATCTCGCGTAATCTCGGGTAATCTCGGCTCATCTCGGCGGCGGGCGAGTCTAGGTGCGCTGCTCGCCGCCTTTTGGCGGCTCGCCTTGCACGAGCGCGCGAGCGTCGCGGGCGACGTGGCGTCG